CAAAAGGCCGAGAAACTGTCTCCCTCCTATGGAGTTTAAAAAAAAGAAAAAGGTAAAGAAGAAAGAAAAAGGGATGGAGGTGATACACAGGCCAATATCTGTCTCTTATACACATCTAGATGTGTATAAGAGACAGCTCTCTCTCTCTCTCTCTCTCTCTCTCTCTCTCTCTCTCTCTCTTTTCTTTCTTTTGCGCACACGCACCCCCTCCATCTCGCGCCGGCCGCCCCTGCTTACAAAGGTACACCAGTACCTTTTTTTTTCCCTGGTCGTCATCACGTTTGCGAGGAAGACAGTCCGTGGCCATGGCACGCGCTGATGCTACCAGCGGTCTGCAGGAGTGGTTTGGCGTTGCCCAGTCACACGGCGAGCCTCGTCAAGCGTTCATACACTAAGATACACCCTGTGCTAGGTGGAGCCATGTGGCCATACAACCCAATGGTAATAAATAATGCACAGTAGTGCGTCCTGATGCATGGCGAGTGTTTGTGTTCCCATTCCCCATGAATATGGAGAGTTGAATCTGACCGGGATTGTGGCTGGCATTCTTTTGAGTTCTTCGCTGGTCCAAAACGAATCGGAATGGCTTCTGGGACCAGATGCACCCTGTGCTAGGCGGAGCCAAGCAAGGAAGTTCACTTTTTGGAACATGCGGAGACTTGGGGGGGGGGGGGGGGGGGGGGGGGGGTTGTGGGGGGGGGGGGGGGGGGGGGGGGGGGGGGGGGGGGGGGGGGGAACAAGGGCGCAAGAGCGGCGGAACTGGGCGGAACAGGTGCGGAAGAAGATGTGGAAACGCGCCAGGCACCAATATGGAAAGACAGCGCTCTGTCACGGCCGACGCCTCAGGAAAAAGAGCAGTACCAATACCGCCACCTCCCGTTTTTGCCAATTATTGAACCGGTAGGCCGTCGAACTTATGATTTACTGTTTTTCTTGCTGTTTCGAACTGCTCACGGCCCAATCTTGCAGTGGACTGTTATTTCTGCGAATTCTGAACTGCGCGGCAGTCACAGGCACAGTTTTTTTTTTTTTTTTTTTGTTAATTGAATGTTATGATGATGACATGTTTTTCTGGGAGTTCTTGCTGAGTTGGGCTACTGCATAATGGACGTCATAATGTTGATTATCAATTAAATTAAATTAATAGTATAATAAGAATTGCTTCCAATGGTGCCAACACTATCCCAACGAGCCTTCCTATTACAAGAGGCAATAGGGGAGGGAAAAGGGGAAAAGAAAAGGTAACAGTAGAGATTGGAAGTCCTTTTGTAACATAGTTCGCTAGATATATGATGATTGGTTGAGCATTTTTTTTTTTTTTTCTGGGGCAAATTATATATTGATTCCTGAATATTTTCAGACTGTTACGATCCTGGCCAATTTCGAAGTATACAAACATCAGAAAGTACAATGCCGTCCAATTGCAAAAAGAAATGAATGAACTTGAGAGGAGAGAGAGGGAAAGAAGAAGAAGAAGAAGTAAGAAAGAAG